CCCAATGCGAAGTTGATTGCTGCCAGCTCAGCAACAAAAACGGAACAAGGTTCCTGAAGTTTGCGGAAGGCGCTAGAGTTTTCATTGAAGACACCGAAGCCAGTGGATCCATTGAGACGGGACCCGTCTGTAAAATATCTTTTCATGCAATTGACTTGTTGGTACTTTTCAGTAAAAATACGTGGGATAATAATAGGTCGAAGTTGATCGGGAATCCCATGAGTTGCTTGTTTCATGGTCAGATCATATTCAATTGAGGAACTGCGATTGGTGAAGTGAACACGGTCTGGAGTATAACAAGGAAGACACATATCTGATGATATGTAGTGGTGGTAGATTCTCATAAATCGAGATTTTGTGTTCAGCCCAAGAATTTCTTCAAAATTAGCAATTATAAGTGTGTTCGTCACTCCGCATTTGATTAGTATTCTGAGAGAGAGCTCCCAGAAACGGTTCTGGAGGGGTGTTACTCCTGCCAGAACCTCGAGACTCATGTTATGCGTTGAGTGCATACAGCCTAGAGCAATACGCAGACAACGATATTGAATTCGTTCCAATTTTATTAGGTGACTTTTTCTTGCCGAGAGAAAGCAGAAAGAGCCGTACTCTAGAACAGAGAGAATAATTGTTTTATAAAGCGTTATGAGGTCTCCCGGATGAGCACCCCACCATGTGCCGCAAATTGAACGGAGAAAGTTGATCCTCTGCTGACATTTTTGCTTCAAATACGTAATATGGGCATTCCAAGTGCACTTTGAATCAAACCAAATCAAACCAAATCAAATCAAACCCAAGGTACTTGAAAGACAATGATTGGGTAATGTTTCTGCCCAAAAGATTAAGCTGCATTTGGGCTGGGTACCGCTTTCGAGTAAACACTACCAGTTCAGTTTTCTGCGGCGAGAATTCGATCCCTAGATTCATAGCCCAAGAAGGCAAGTTATCTAAGGAATTTTGCAATGGTCCTTGCAAGTCCACGGCATGTGGACCTCTTACGGAAACCACACCGTCATCTGCAAGTTGTCTTAGCGTGCATTGTTCTGCCAAACAGTTGTCGATATCTTTGACGTAAAAGTTATAAAGAAGAGGGCTGAGACATGAGCCTTGGGCCAGGCCCATGTAGCTAATTCTGGAAGTTGTCAGTTGTCCAAGGGAAAAGTTCATTTGCTTTTCTGACAACAAATTGTACAAGAAATTATTTAAAATTCCGGAAAGTCCACATCTGTGCAGATTGTCTGACAGAATTTCAATGGAAACTGAATCAAAAGCCCCCTTAATGTCCAAGAATACTGAAGCCAATTGCTCCTTGTGTGCAAAGGCCAGTTGAATATCTGTGGAAAGCAGCGCAAGTTGTATTTTTTTAAGTTATATAAGATTTTCGTATAAAAATACGACATTTACAGAAGTGAATTAAATGAGTTATGCAATGAAGGCTCTCGTAGTTTTTTCACCATAGATAGACAAAAGTACGATATTTTAAAAACGTAAATTTTACGAGAAATCATTGTGTAAAAAGATAATTATTTAAAAAAAATAGAAGGGTCGCTACTGGACGGAACACATATGTTGAGAATTTAGTTCTTTTAATTGATTGATAATCTATTATCTTAACTCTTTCCGTTTTTGAATTGTTGGCTCTGAAAAGGGCCGGTGTTTTTCAAATGATGGCCGTTATTTTTTTTTCTGGAGTCCTTTTGATCGTTTGGGACGGCTACCGTGTAGTTGATGAAAAATAGTGATACCTGATACCTGTAATTTTAAAAGATACCTGATACCTGTAATTTTAAAAGTTTGTTTGTGACATTAAATTCTGACCCATGATATTACTACTTACATATATCAGTAAGTATAGGCCGATGGTAAGAGAAATAGGTGATGAATACTTTACATCTAAGATCCGGAATATGTAGCGCAAACTTCGTGAGTGGTCAGAACCAACGTGTTTGCTCTTAGTTCTTTTAATTATTCGAAAACCTTAACTCCTTCTGTATTTGAATTGGTGGCCCTGAAAAGGGCCGTTTGTTTGTTGGTTGTTGTCCCTGAAAAGGCAAATCCAATTGCCCGGACTTGGTATATAGATGACATTGGTTCACGACGCCGATGATAGTGACGCAACGCACTTAGCGATGGTGGCCCAAAGCGGTGACACATCTGTGGCCGATCAGAAGTGATGCAACGTTTTTACTACGGGCTGGAGCTTTCCTGGTTGCATTATATGGCAGCATTTACACCAGACTAATATGTGCTCCGGCCAGCATTGAATTGGATTGTTGTGAAAGAACAATTAGCGCTATTTGGCTCTTTCACACCGGCGGCCGTCAGGCGTTTTTATTACCGCTGCCTTTCTCCTCCCTTCCTATGATTGGTGAAATGGTGAGCGGTCAATCGAGCATTGAGCTCGCTCATGTGAGCATGCGCAATGTGCCGTGTGTTCGATTTGCGCTCTATCGTTACGTCCGTGTTTGAGATTTTTCGTTACATATTTGAATTTTGATATTTTTTTATAGAAATGAAAGACGTAGTCCTACGTCAAAATATGTTTAGGGGGGACCCTAGCCTGCTTGTTAAAATCAAGTATAATACGTAAATCACTAGAGATCGAACACTATTATCTTCAGCAAAAGGGAAGAAGGGTTCTAAGAATTTGCAACAGAACGTGTAGTAGATATGACAAAATGCGTAATACAGGTGGAAGAGGGGTTATAAAATCGAATAATTTGTGGAACGTCATATTTGTATCGCCCCGAAGATGCATCAAATAAAATTTCTTAGAACAATTGGGAGACCACAATTAGCACCACTCCACAGTGAGGCAACCCCATATACAAACCGGTCGTAATGATTTTTTTTTTAATATTAACCAACATAGGGTAAATTTTGGCTTCCGCACCCATTGACTGTTTTCGGCAATCAAAGTATAAACGCTAATTTCACTGCATTTTTCAAAACACTTCACTGAATGTATTCAAACGACTTTAGTCTTTCAGCTTCAATCTGATTACAATTTCAATCTGATTACATTACGACTGAGCAATCCTGTTATGCCAGATTTTTCTTTAATTAATATGGACGCACTACAAAATGCGGCGATTTCAAGTTGCCGATAATAAAACAGCTGGTGCGCAGTTCAAATGGAAAGGTTACCGAAGTTTGAAGTGTTGTAAAAACGCTTTCAAACAGTTTTGTACAATTTTATCGATTGGAATGGTTAGAGAAGCAAGCAGCAGATAAATTTAAACAAACAGACACGTCATATTGCGTGATACTGAGAAAATGCTAATAGAAGTGTGGACTCTGCTGAGAGTGACGAGAATATGTAAATTCCCCTACTTTTTAATTTGATGTCTTATCCTGAATCCACATTTTGCGTTCAAAATTATGAGTTCTAAAACAATGTATCTATAACTTGGCTCTGTAAAGTTTATTCGACTGAGCCTGTAAAAATAAAGTAATAAAAAACAATGTATTATGTGGTTTTTATTGCAAATAACATGTAAAGTTGAATGTATTAATGGCATCTTTTTCTGGGCCGATGCCTAGGTTTGTTTTATATTTTTTTTCCTTTATTAACGAGACTTTCAGCCTTAGGCTGGTTCATCTCTAATGGTTTGTTTTAATATAATTTAAAAAAAAAATAGCGTTCTAGATCAAGAAAAAATCAGAAAACCCTAGGGTGGCTCCTGAATTTAACCAAAAACATTGATCTTCTTGCATATAATCAATAGAAAAATAGAAGCACAAACTTGAGCAAAATGAGGTCCAGATATTTAGAAAAGTCTTGAAAAACCCTTTCAGTTCGTAAAAACCTCATATTAACGCAATTGGGCGCATTTTAGTTAAAGGTGTCTACAAAATTAATATCAATGTAAAATACTGATTAGGTAATATACTAACTTAGGTAAACAAAGCTTATGGGCTCCCTTAGCTCAGTCGGTAAAGGCGGAGCTACAAAGCAAGACCAGGTTGGAGGAAGCTAGGTTCCATTCCCCATTTTTCGGGTTGGAACATTTCTCCACTTCCGTGTGCTTAGAGTGTGATTGTACTTGCCACACAATTAAACTAATGCAAACATCGTACATGCATCAAAAGCTCTCAATTAATCTAGAACACTAAGTTGAGAGGACGTAATAAGCTAATATGCGATGAGCAATAATTTTGAAATGCGACGAAGACGAAGAAACAACGTACAACTCAAACGAAACTTGGATTTATCAATCAATTTTGTCACACGGATAAACAATAATCCGATGCAGTCAACCGTACAAGTACATTTTGATTGTATTTTAAATCATTCATGAGAACTGTTGCACCGAACAAATCTGTTCGCATAATTTTCAGACTCCATAAAAAAAACGGATAATTTAAACCGTCCCAATGGCTTCTACTAGGTGTTCACCGTCACTACCTTTCACGCTAATCTGCCTGTCAAATCAACTTTCGTGTTATTGCTCCCCAGACCGGCTAATACAATGAATATGATGACAAAATTGATAAACTGTTTAACGCATTTCGACAAACCGTCGCATGTGCGCTGTGAAGATCGATCGCTACACAGGACTGAACAAACGGCCGTCTACACATACTACCAACCAAAACGAACATCACGAGGGAAAACGCCACACTTCCACGTCACCACCCCCAGGGACGGGACCAAACGTGACAAGCGACGGTTGTAATGTTTAATTTAATAAACTCGCTGTTTGATTTATTTAATTACCACCAAAGGAGACGTGTGCGCAGGAGGCGGTCCGCACTTGTACGAGCTCCAACGAGTTGTCCAGCCTGGTCGGTTCGGGTTGTATATAAAATCCATATCGAAATGACCTTGATCTAGCTCCACTGTCCATTTACAAGTAGACAAGGGTGGAAAAGGTTAGGAGTTAGGAACTGCAGACCCCTCTTCACTGTGTTTATCTTTATTCCATTAATTAAATCCATCATATTGAGCCCGTGCTAAAATTTTCACCAATTACTCTCCGTTTGTTTCTCCCCCACGACAGATCTCACTTTTAGTCGATAATCATCAGCAACCATGACAAAGCGGTTTGAGTTCAACTGGCAGATCCCGGTTCCGGAGGCCCTCCAGGCCGGGTGCGTCTTCGACCGGTGGTTTGAGGAAAAGGACAACACAGAGTTCGAACCGGGCTGTACATTCAAAGTGGACGAGTATGGATTCTTCGTCTACTGGAAAAGCGAAGGACGGGTAAGTGGGATGCCAAACAAATTGAAAGTGATGTTTTGAAAATTACGTTAAAGGTGTTACATTAGGGAGGGTGGCTCCAAAAAGCTTTCCCCCGGGACTTAGGAATTCACTCCAAAGATGATAGATTTAGGAGGCTTTCTACGAGGTGACAAAATAAATTTATCAGGCTTTGGAAAAGTATCTACATGAAAGTAAGGTTTAGCAGATACTACACTGCCTATAATCGCATATCAGTCCCATGTGGATTTTCGTCAACTGTCATATTATGTGATAAAACTATGGACTTTTATAATGAAAAATGTGAAAACAACATCAGTCAGTTTGTCCCATTAAGCAAAGTAATCGCATATCAGTCCCATCCTTAAATTCAATCGTCCAGAGGTGAGGTTACAGTTCTGCATTTCGAGTGCCCATATTTTTCACTGATATAACATAACATGCAAGCTTCTATGCTACTGATTTTAACTTGAAACAAATATTAATAAATTTACTATGATTTTTCAAATATTTACATGGGAATCGCACTTCATAGCTTCGACTGCCTACTTTTTACATATGGGACTGATATGGGATTATAGGCAGTACACGTCCAATTTGGGTATACATTTTTCAACTACTTACCATTCATCACCTGTCGAAATACCAAGGAAAATCAAATCAGAATAAATAATATTTTGCTTTACGGTGTTGTTAGTTAACAGTTCACCGCCTCTCGATGTTGATTGATCTAAAATTAATTTCAATGATTGATGTTCTCTAATGCAGTAACTGTCAATCTAAATTTAAAGGTTATCAAGTTAATTAGTGATCACAGCAAGCCGGCCATCCCCCACAGCGCAACATGGCAACGTGACGTAACTACACAACTTCACACCAATTGCCCTTTGAATTTCGTGAGATCATTTTCTACATGAGGCATTAGCATAACACCGAACTGAGCCTGTGTGTGCGTATTTGAAGAATGTACACACCAAAAACTAATCGGGGATTCATCTCGATGGATATCATGTTGACAACATACAGTTAGCTTTGAAACATTTTTGATATAAAGAAGCCAATTTGATTTTTCTTTTAGTGTATTTTAGGCTAAAGTCATGATTGAAAGATTTCTTTCAACCGAAGCTAAAAAAGTTGCAAAATGAGAGCAAGCTTGCAAACTCTCATTACAGCTAAAATGCTACTTTTCGAAATTATAAAACTATGAAATATAATAATAATAATGTTTATATGTAAGTTGCATGTAGAGAGGGTAAAGTTTGTATATTACACATAAAACCTGTCAGTTCATCTTTCAGAGGGTAACAATTAGCGATTTTAGCTGTAATGAGCAATCGCTATAAGTAACCTCCACTTCCTGCTTCTTACAAATAAAATATATTATGATATCTCATAGTTTTATAATTCCGAATAATAACATTTTAGCTGTAATAAGCAATTGCAAGCCTGAATGAGACAAATCCGGAGAACTTCGAGATCAGGATGTAATTGTTTTTGTAAACAAACACTTGATTTGACGATTTCTCGCGAATTAAAGGTCAATTTAAAACACTTACAACACAATCAGGTAGATGAATGGTTCCTCTATCATTTGGTATACTTTGTTCACGAAATTGTTCTTTTATTCGCGAGGAATCAGCGATTGACATGTTTGCTTTACAAAAGCAATTACGCCCAAATCTCAAAGTTCTCTGGAAATATGATCATTTATAAAAATTGATTTTCTTGAAAAACACACCTATTAATTAGAGGCACTTTCCAGGCCAAAACTGCATAACTGAGCATTATTGGCTTTATACTACTAAATGAAAACAAAAATGAACATGATTGGAGTTTCAATCATGAATTTCTGAGCTCATTCAGAAAGTTAAGAAAGTTACACTATTTCAAAACCTTCACACCGTTAAAAAAGATGATGGAAATCCGTTACCACAACCTCGTAGCCATTCATTTTTAATCATTCAAAGATAGTAAATGATAATTAGAACACTGCTTATGATAATTTTAGAGATTTTACGCAAAACGCATCGCAAGCCGTTTCACAAAAACTTACTGAAATTAAATTATTTTGTTTTTCATCGTAAGTTGGGATCCTTTTATACGACTAACAAACAGTTTGTATGAGCTCGGAAAAATGAGTAAGAGCTCGATGGTTTGACCAATTTTTTGCGTGTACATTCTTTATAATCTAACTGCCTCTCTCTGGCGGTGTCATTATGGTTAACATCTACATGCAATCATTTATTATGGCTGGAAGAAACCGGAACCCGGGAGATAGAAGGTTATAGCCTATTTCAAGTAATAAATCATTCAATCAAACAGTAGTGGAGTACTTGATTGATGCGTATTTAATGATATTTAAAACGAGTAGGTATTTAAATTTAAATGGATGAAAGGAATGACAAATAAAGAATAACTTAGTTGAGCTGAGGCTGGTCCAAATTGCCGTCTTCCAGCTTTCAACTTCTTCACAAGCAAACGACGCAGCAAAACGTAAACACGCCAATTTATTAGCGAGGTCTACTTCGATCTCCGATAAAAACGTTGAATCTGAGGACTGACGGTATTCCGTCAAACCAGCAATGGTCAGCATGAAATGGTCCTGCACATGTCGAACTGTACCTTCAACAATGCTGTTTAGTTGTTTAAGGGGAAGCTTACCGGCCCAAAAATAAAAAAAAAAAATATTCTCGGTACGTTTTTATTTTTCTACAAGTATTGGGAAAAATTATCAATAAATCCAAGAAAATCAGTTTCTTCCTAAGATTTTTGTCAAAAATAACATGTAAAAATATTTTTTCTATCTCATCATGAAAAAAAATTGGACTCTCAGCAAAACCAAAAAGTCGATGTTTTGTGGTTTTTTGAGTCCAACTTTATGCCATAATGACTTATAAAAAAAAAATTGCACATGAATTTTCTTTGAAAAATTCGAAAAATTTTTATTTTTTTAGAATTTCGATACCTTTTTCCAATATTTAAAAAAAAAATCAAAACGTAATTATTTTTTTTTTCGGAACGGTGAACTTCCCCTTAATGTTTAGCTGTTGGGTTTTTTTATTTTGTTAATGAAGATCTACTTTTAAACTGTTAGTTGCTAGGACGTAGCCAAGTTTTGATAGAGGATTGGGCAGTTTTTGTGATGGGCATTTGGCCGAAGATCCCTAGTCCCAGCGCTATTAGATCGAAGGGTTCACTAGATTAAATGGTTCATTATACCAAATATTGTTCTAATTTGAATAATAGATTAACAGCATTCAAAGGAAGACAAAACAAACTTTGAAATTCTTCTGAAATATTATCCTATGAATTCCACACAATTTCATTAATGTACCCTTCACCTTGGAAATTTTACGCAGAATTTCCTATGAATTCGCCACAGAATTGCAGGGGGCTATACCATAGAGGTAACTCTAAGACTAGTAGGTCCCGAAGAGACGTGCTCAACTTTTTGGCTAAGCTCTGGTACTATCTTCGGTCCCAAGCTAATCGATGCAACCCTCGAAACGTAGAAAAATCCACGAACCCCTCATTTTATCTGTCAAAATTGCATAGCGAATCAAAACAAACATAGTGTAGTACTAGAATTTCGACTATAATGGGGTACGTTAATCGATTTGCTTGGGACCAATACGTTAGTCAAGTAGTGAGCCAATTTAAAACCATTAGTTTCCTCCGGTTGGCTATACTGAGGTCATTCTATACACTAATTTGGTGTCAACTTTTTTCTCAGTATGCCTCAAGAGTGCCGCACCTGCGCCGGTTGTGCTGAAAGTGCCAGTCATCGGGCTGACTTTGTTTTCTTGTGGATGATGACATACTTGGCCAGTCGGTATTTTGATTGTTCGAATGTTTTATTCTGAAGAGACAGCACCACAAGTGGAATCCGATCCAGAGTTACCTCAGCTGGACAAGTTGTTACCGTACAAAGGGCCCGACTGGTGGATCCCTTCGAGAAGGAAATCAAATTCGTCTGTCCGCTGCGAAGACAATATCGAACTATTTGATTGAGTTTTAAATCAATAGCCGCTCAAGGACGTTATTTACCCCCCTGACCATAATAGATTAAGGTATTGCCGAAGCCAACTTTTCCCCTATTTGATTGAGTTTTAAATCTTCAGCCGCCGGGGCAAACTGCTGCTGATGCTGCAAGCGCAGGACCGGGCAACATTTTGGAAAACAATATTAGGCAATCAATTTGGCGAAAGCGTGAAGCTTGCCATCGGTCATCGATTGGACACAAGAGAAGCTCTTCCGGGGATATAAATTGGTTGTGGAGATCAACGATGTTTATCTGGCAGCGAATCGGATGCTAGGTTCAAAACGGTTGCCACACTGAAAACCGATACTGGGGTTACACAAGGAAGACCTTTGTTGCAGTTTTTATGCTGATTACGATGAGATGTCCGGTGTAGCAGCAGCAGCCGCAGCAACCGTCGTGAAGGGGAATCATCAGGCGGGCAAACACCTGTTTCACGACATGCAGCTCCGCTTGTCCTAGTAGCATGAATGCCTCCTTAGAATGAGTGCTATTGAGGAATCTAATTCGAATCTAAAAATCGAATCTATTTGACAAAATTTGACGTTTTGGTACAGTGTCATATTTTGATTCAATAGCAAAATTAACAGGTTGCTTCGATATCCCATCACCATGAAGGTTTTAAAATGTGGCTCAGTCACACAGACACACAGTTGGGCACACTCATTGACACTGTTTGGCACCCATGTTTAGGAATGTTCATGATCTTTGGAGTTACTGGCAACACTGTTATGCGCAGGTGCAGTGTATATTAAAACATTAAATATACACTGCACCTGCGCATAACAGTGTTGCCAGTAACTCCAAAGATCATGAACATTCCTAAACATGGGTGCCAAACAGTGTGAATGAGTGTGCCCAACTGTGTGTCTGTGTGACTGAGCCACATTTTAAAACCTTCATGGTGATGGGATATCGAAGCAACCTGTTAATTTTGCTATTGAATCAAAATATGACACTGTACCAAAACGTCAAAATCAAAAACATGTTTGATCAGACTGAATATAGGTTTTGACAGCTGTATAATACTCCTGTAGAATTACCTTGGAATTTCACTCAGAATCCTCTTGCAATTCTTAAGAGATGAACTAGTCTAAGGCTAAAAATCTCTAAAATAATGATTATAAAAAAAATCTTGCAATTCTCCTCAAAACAATACCTTTTAAATTTTCTTCACAACCCCCATGGAGTTCTTCTAAGAAACACCTTGGAATTCAAATCAGAACAATCTTACCGTACCTTACTCTGCTTAGAATTTATCATAATGTCCCCTTACTATTCCCTTTGAATTCTCCTCAGAATTAGCTTGGAAACTAGTCAAAAATCCTGTGCTATTCTCCATAGGAAGTTTTAAGAATTATCATAACGAATTTTATTCTGAATAACTTCCCGCATAAACGCGAACCATAAATTGACCTTACCTAAAATGGTTAAAAATTGTTTATAATCCCTGCTAAACTTTAACTGAAATGGTTATGGAACTTTACCTGAACGTTTAATGATAAAGTTTCAACCTTATGTATTATGGTTTTTTTGGAACTGGACCTTACAAATAATGGGTTGTTAAGAACCATTACCATTCCAAATTCTTGTTTTCTCCATACATTTTCGGAAAGAGAACTATATTAGAACCTTTTAACTTATGGTTTGAGAACTTTAATGGTAATGGTTATGGTAGTCAGTAAGGTCCACGAATGGTTTTGTAACATCGATCAACTTTATGTGGAATATATCGCGAATTGGTTGCCTGTAAATTACTGATTACCAATTCGCGATATATTTCACGTAAAGTTGAGCGATAATACAAAACCATTAATGGACCTTACTGACTACCATAACCATTACCATTAATGTTCTCAAATCATAAGTAAAAACGTTCTTATATAGTTCTCTTTCTGAAAATGTATGGAGAAAACAAGAATTTGGAATGGTAATGGTTCTTAACAACCCATTATTTGTAAGGTCCAGTTCCAAAAAACCATAAAACATAAGGTTGAAACTTTATCATTAAACGTTCATGTAAAGTTCCATAACCATTTCAGTTAAAGTTTAGCAGGGATTATAAACAATTTTTAACCATTTTAGGTAAGGTCAATTTATGGTTCGCGTTTATGCGGGTTAGTAATTGAAAAAAAAAAACATTAAGTACCAGAATCCTTAAAAATTTGCGTTGAATCTTTTCTTTTGATTTTTCTTAGTCTCCGGTTCTTAATATTTGATTCAAGTTATAGATTTATAAAACAGTTTCTATGTTTCTAGAAGCCAGAAAAATTTCAAAATTCTTACACTGGTGAAATGTTTGAACACATTTCGAGATGCCGGTATTGAAAAACTTATTTTTCTTTGATAAGTTGTTGCTCCAACTGTTTAAAATATTTTTAAACGACTACGACCATTACTAATATCCTGGTGGCGGAGCCTCAACAAGGACTTCAAGCAAGTTGATAGGAATATGACTTGGGCCAAAGTTAAAGCAAAGGCAAGCAGTGACCACAGGAGTGGAACTTCGGATCAGAAAGTGGCTCCACTTGTCATTTGCGAACACTAGCGCACCTAGCGGTAGAAGGCATCTTCTGCCTGCAGTTAAGATAGGCAGCATGCTATGATAGTGTGAGTGCACATAGAAAGCCCATGTAGAACGCTACCACAACACATCGCTTGTTGAGCAGGAAAACGAACTACTTTTTGATTCACCGATTTGTTTGCACTTCCCCTTCTGTTCTGTGCAGTGACCCAGAATGGAAGTCCTTTACGTTGTCCTTTGCAGCACTGAAGGTGACCAGGAGGCTTAAGTATGTAAAGTAAAAACGGCTTTCTTGAACTATTCTGAATGGAATTTCAACAGGGAGGATAATGGAATTTCATCAGAAAGCCCAAAGAGTTTTCGGAAACTATTTTGAGAATTTTTTTAATACGGATACCTCAGAGAAGCTCAGAAAACGTTAGGACTTGGAAATCTTTAGAGGAGCTGACTCAACTGCAAGCTAAACTATTGCCTTTATTAAATCTGAATAGAGCAGGGATTTTCCAAGGTATCAAAAAGTATTAGGGAAATATTCAATATGATCATGGATCTTCGGAATATAGAAAAAAAAACTTCAGGGAACTTTGAAGAAGTTCAGAAAGCTTTGCAGTAGCATTAGGGAACATCAGAGAACTTTGAAGATGTTCACAGAACTTTGAAGAAGTTCAAGGCATTTGAGAAGTTCAAAGAACGCTGAAGAAGTTTAGGAACTAGTGAGTGGCTAAAAATCTCCTTAATAAAGTTTAAAAAAATAAGTTTAGGAAAATTTGGAAGCGTTCTGGGATCTTATGAGAATGTCTAGGAAATTTGTAGCATTCTAAAAAGCTTAGAATGTAAAAAAAATACGAAAAAGTTCAGCAAACTTTGAAGAAGCACAAGGCATTTATTCTACTTTTCCTTCACTATACGTGATTTTGGGTTAGCCGAAATTTTCCTAAATTGAACTTTGAAGAGGTTCAGGAATCTTTGCAGTAATTCAGAGAACTTCAGGGAACTTTGAAAATGAACTAAGATCTTTGAAGAAATTCACGAAAGTTTTAAGATATTCAAAGAATTCTGAAAAAGTTTAGGACATTTTTGAGGAGTTCGGGGATCTTATGCGAATTTTTATGAAGTTTATAGATTTTTATGGAATTATTTTAAAGTTTAAGGCATTCTGTGAATGTAAAAATAAAAATGAAAAATTTCAGACAAGTTTGAAGAAGCACAAGGAATTTATTTTTATTTATTTTTTTCACTGTATGTAATTTTGAAAACGCCGTAACTGTTCTGAGCTAAAATTTCAAGAAGTTCAGGAATCTTTGCAGTAATTCAGAGAACTTCAGGGAACTTTGAAAATGGACTAAGATCTTTGAAAAAATTCAAGAAAGTTTTTCAAAGAAATCTGAAGATTTTTAGGAATATTTAGAGGAGTTCTGGGATCTTATGAGAATATAAAGGAAGTTTGAAGAATTTTCAAGAAATATGGAAAAGCTTAGGGAACACTGTGAATTAAAAAAATCCAAGAAGAAGATCAGAGAAGTTAGAGGACGTTCAGAAATGTTAGAAGAAGCACAAGGAACTTAATCTTTTTTTTTCTTCACTGTGTAAATTTTAGGGATTTTCACTATGGAATATGGAAGAAGTTCTGAGAACATTAGAGATGTTAAAGAATCTTTGAAGAAGCTCAAGAAATTTTAGAGAGTCCTTCGATATTCTTCAAAGTTCCCTGGAGTTCGCTGAATTTTTGAAGTTTAGGAAACCTTGGAGAAGTTCAGAGAGCTTTAGGGCGTTTTTTTAGATTTTTTAGACTTCCCCACCCCCTGCGTGAACAACTATCAATACACAACCTAACCTGTTCATGTGGTATATGGACAGCCCCTTATGAGAAGTTCTGGGCACTTTGTGAATATTGAAGAAACCTTGTCCCGTAGCGTGGGTAGATCACCTTTTCGTGGTACGTTACGCGATGTAAGATCTACCACATCGAACTCTGGCCCGAAGCTCTTCTTGTTGACGGTTATGAATCTCGGTTTTGAGATGGGATACAAGAAAAGGTGGGATACAGGGTTTCGATGCATGGTCAAATATCAGTATCATCGCTTGATTTTTCTCACTGATAAGACCGATTTTGATTGCTGAAAAGTTGCATATTTAAAGCGATCCCAGAATTTTTCAAATGATGCCGTTCATCACAATTGAATACGGATTCATGTAAGACCTATTTTGATTGATGGGAGAGCGCGTCTATAGAAAGGTCCTAGAACGCTTCGAATATTGCGAAACATGACAATTAAATGAAGCATCTTGTGAGAACGATTGAACTGCATCGAAAACAAAAACCTCATTACTATTCTATAGTAATGAGGTCCTACGGCATGCACTAAACAAAGGACACGGACATATCACAAACAATCAATGGAATGGTCTTAATTATGACCCGACAATAGGAAGAAGAAAAAAAACCTTGAAGAAGTTTAGAAAACTCAAAAGAAGCGCAAGGAACTTACTACTGTTTATTTTCGGAAACGCCGAATTATTCCTGAATGGAACATATTGAACACTATATTGAAGAAATTTCAGGGAGGATAAAGGCCCTCAAGAGAAATTCAGAAAAGATTCGGGATTATTAAAGATGATTTTAATATTTTAGAGATGATTACGATGTATGGAAAAAAAACTTAGGAAACTTTGGGTGTTTTGGGGATTTTTGGGGAGCTTTGAGCTCAGGAAACATTGAGAAGTTCAGAGCAGTATGAGGAACTTTGGAGAAGTTTTGGAAACTTCAGACAAGCTCAAATATCTTCAGAGAAAGTTAAACAAATAGGAATATTCCTATTGAATTTTGGAGATATTCAAAAACTTTCGAAAAATTCAGCGATCTTCGAAGAGTGCAGAAAAATTTAGATTAGTGAAGAAAGTCTATTGAACACGTTGTATGTAAAATGGAATGGTTCTTCCATAAGTGTAATCCTCCGTTTATGTTTGGCCTCTTGTTGACATCAATACATTTCCTTTGCTTTCTGTTCTTCATTATTCAGTCGTTACCAGTTCTTGCACTTAGGCTTCAAATAACACATAAAGCATTTGTGTTTAAAGCCATCATAAAAAAAACATCCATCTTCCAGTAAAAGATGTTTAAAAGGCTATATTAGGCTATTATAATTATAAACAGTGATGGATGCAAAGATGCAGTATTATGCAAGAATATAGCTTGGGCATCGTAAACACTGTTCCTTGGTTCATAATCTTACAGGGTGAATCATCTGCATTAACAACAAACTCATATTCTACTTCACAGGAAGGTGATGTCATCGAGCTTTGCCAAGTCAGTGACATCCGAGCTGGTGGAATGCCAAAGGTAAGTTCATCCGAAAAAAATCGCTCAGTGATTCGAAAACCCTCGCTTAAATTGACAGTTCCAATCAACTTTTACCCACAACATAAATCCAAAACCTTGAAAACAGAACATCGCGTCGTCAACGTAGCCCAATACAATGTCAGGGGAAGTTATCACAAACACACTCATCAGATTTAAAATAAGGCAATTGTTTGAAAAGTACGGAGGAATCTGCATCTGACAACGATGCCTCACTTGCGCTCGGTCGATGGTGGTCTTCGCTAAATTTATCCTTCACAAAACAGCCTCCATTCGAGAGGTTGACAACGATGGTTTGAATAGGGTTTGAAAGCATTTTCATCGTTCACTTCGCACCGAAAGCACTGCGAATCAAACCCTATTCTTCCTCTTTCTGTCTCTCACTCAACCTCCCTGCATCAAGACAAAAGGCCTTTTCCAGGGTAAAAGAAGAGCGAGATTCATCCGAGAGTACGAACAATAAATATCTATTCAGCATTGCCGTTGGCTTGAGCCCCCTCCCCTCTGCCACCGCCACCTCATCTGCTTTGAATGGGACGAGTTATGACAAAGTGAAACAAATAATGTTGTAGGCGGTGAGGTCGACGCTGACTATTGCACTGGTTGAATTCGCGGAAGCGCTCAAGCAAAACAATGGATGGTTATGCTCCCGGTGCTTCTCCTGGAAAGGTTAGGTTGGCTGGGAAGAGGATTTGACCTTCTGAAGGGGCTCACACGGACTGCGACTGCGACCCGTGCATCCGTTTTTTTTTTTTTGTTTCTAGGAAGAATTGAAATAGGATTGACCCGCAGGGTGACAATGCTACTGTCATGGAAGGCCAGGTAATGGTTTCATGACTTAACGGTTCCCAAAAGTCCTTGTATTTGTGTCTTTATAATTAAACTTCCACTGTTTGGCAGTGCTATTATGGGTTAAATTTACCTGCTAAAAGCTTGAATCCGGGAATTGGAAGGTGATTTTTTATGGTAGTCGGTAACTCTGAAGCTTTTTTCACACCAAGCGTACTGATGCTTAAATGAGTTTAAAAATGATTATTAAAATTTAAATGAGCTATCGAGAAACGGCAAAGATATAATGACATACCTGAGCGCTGACTGGATGAAACAGCCGTACTTTGGAACTCCAATATTTCTTTATGTAACGGAAAAAAAGTGGAACTCGAATTGGTCACTGTCACGTAATATACCGAATTAAACCAGACTTTTAATTTCGCTTCACATAATCATTTAATTGAAACGGGTTTTTTTTTGCAAAGAAAACGAAGCAGCAAAACACAAACATGTCAATTGAACAGCGCGGCCTACGTGGATTTCCCAACAACTTCCGAATTCAAGTATGTTGTATATTTTGCTAGGGTTTAAAAAATGTATAAACTAACCCAACCCTAACGAACGTCGATGAAAATGAACTGGTAAGATGATTATTTATAGCTACGAGTCAAAAACTGAGAAACCATTACGCTCAATTGCATCCCAATTGGTTGAACCTTTCGAGGAAAGGAAAACAAAAACAGTCAATTTAAGGAGGACCGAATCAAGTTGAGCTGAGCCTATACTTGTTGTTTGTTTGTCTGTTTGCACTGACCATTCCTTCTTAATCTTGTTTTGTTCGAACAAAATAGGACCTGAAGTTATTCAACCAGGTGGTCAACAAACACGGAGAAAACGTCGAGGAGAAATCTCTGACCATTTGCTCCGGAACAGACTACATCAACATCAACATGCAACATGTGATCTGCCCGGATGCAGCTACGGCCAAGGTAAGAACTACTTCCGTTAATTTGACTTTTGATTTTCCTATTTCCTGGTCTTGTAAGATTAAATCTACACTTTACATACAATTGATGGAGGGCAAATGGGCAGCACAAACAAATGGAGACGCATGGTACTTCGTATTTCAATCACAGCAAAATTCGTTTTCCCTAGATTGATTGCACAATAATAACCCATCAAATGTGTTGCTATCCGTTCCAAAAATGGACATATCATTAGATGAGTAAGCATGAAATTTCCGTTGTGACGAAAAAAAACGAGGATGAAACAAGAGAATTGTTTGTGAATAAGCCATCAACGTTCGTCGAAAATTTGCCATGGCTCTGCATGACTACATATCCTCTTTAAATTCTACCGTACAAGATTTGATTATATCACTCATCTTCAAATTACTCACTCTCTACCGTCTCCTTCTTAAGGTGTGATATTCAAGCACAGAAAGACGATCACACCCATTCCCAACCGGCCGGCAGGTGTCATCGACTCATAAAGTCAACCACCATACGGCCATCATTATCCAGCATCCTTCTCATCATCATCATCATCATCATCATCGTCAACGGCTCGATTCGTTCGAGGACGTCGTTCTGGGGCTCGTTAGCTCATAAACCTAATACGTATGCTGCACGAATACGCAGCATATAGCTCTGCTAACGGTACGGACGGGTTAGCCTCTACTCCCTTCAAGGTTCACTGGGCAAATTATCTGCCACAGGATATTACATACATGTCACCAAGTTTCTCTCTCTCTCCTTCGGTCGGTCGTGGTGGTTTCACTCGCCCTCCGCACTCCCGAAGCAATTCTTCTTTCGCCGCCCGGAACGATATACGTACCCTGCCTAAGGATTAGCATGAGACCCGTTAAATTTTGGGAGTATGCGTAAAGTACACCATGTATTTAATGGAAATGTTGCTAATTAAAAAAAATTAAAAATAGGTATTTTAAAATTTGAAGATGCTTAACGTCAAATATTATACTTAGAGTGGTCATTTATATACGATAGAAGGCGAGGTCAATTTTGAGGAAGGCACGAATTGGATTGATCAACTCCTCTACCAAACTCCCCTGTTTAAGTGTGATATTTGACAATAAGCACCTCCAACTATGTAAATCGTTAGCTTCACGCAAGAAGTAATACAAACGTGATTAGTTAAAGATATTTAAGTTGCTAGGGGAAAATTGTCAAAAAATGCTTTCCTTCGAAATGTATGTATGGCCCCAGCATAAGGGACACTTAGGCCGACATTAGGGACGTAACCCCACGTTGTTGAGCAAAGTTGTAGTTGAGTTAATTTCAAAACACTTAGTCTAATCTAATCTAACCTAATACAAACGCAGCCAGTACAAGAAAGCATAATCAAAAATTATTAGGTTAGATAACGTCTAATCATTTTTCTTTGATGTTTACAGCATTTCTTTGATATGACACAAACATCAAAACGGCCAGGCCTACTGCGTTGTATTTGCCGCAAAGATGATTCTATGAAATGATTCGAGTTTAAATAAATCTATTTAAGCAGCGATGCATTTCGTGAGCCTAAAGAGGTGGAAGGATGCGTACCGTACCAAACGCTCCGGGTTATGTAAGAACGAATGTAACAATAATATGTGATGACATGAATGGTTTATATAATATAGTGTAATGGAAAGATCTCACCAACTGCCTCCAATTTCGCACCAAAACTGGTTAACTTTCCCGGGCTCTGAAATGTCACAAATGGAGACCTCCATCGGTCGCTTCTTCTTGATGTAACTGTATCGGACGATTGGATGTTGGAGGTTTATTGAAGATTTAATTTTCCGTAACTACCACTTAATCATTACGTCGTTCTCCGTGGACCCACTTGTCCAGGATATACCACCTTTGCCCGGCACCTCCACTGGATTTTCATGTCCGCTATCTGTCACTGTTTGCCAAAATATCTAATAGCAATTACCTTTGTCGTAATACTTCCTTTAACGAAAACTAATTTTCTTTCATTGCCATGGTCATATGGGAGAAGGTTTCCCCTTCAAGTTTGGGCGTATCCAGCGAGGTATCCTTCAGATTGCTCGCAATCTCTGACACCGACGAGAGACCAGCAGCCGAGCAGTTTTGCAAGCGGAAAACTTGCTGGCTCACGGCAACGTCGCCCACCGAATTTCGCGACGGACACATTATTAGCACTTTCCCAGGCTAATTTGCCAACCGGACCGGGTTTAAACTCGCCCACGGTGACGAGACTCTCGATAGAACTACACGCCGAAAGTGTGGCATCCGAACTTGGAGAACCGGGCTCCCGGGAGGCAATCCACTATAGCACAATTTCATGAACACTTATAATTCAATTACAGCACAAACAAATGATGTTTAATTCAAAAATTCAAAACACGCAGCAAAAATAAGCACGTCAGATTTCAAGCACGGCTTACTGCGATCGAGTTAATTTCAAGCAACTTAGGATAAGAAACGTGTTTTCTATCTCTTAACGTTCTCATTTTCAGGGCTGGTAGCGATCAATGATGTCAACAATATTGATTTTAGGGAGAAAAAAATATGTTTAAAAAATAAGTGACCAAATAGTGACTAAAAAGTAACTAAAAAATGACCCTAGAGAAGAGAAGTAGTCGTTCTGGTGACACACCAGTGCCGTATTAACGGTAGGGTGATGGTGGGCTAAAGCCAAGGCCCCCAATTTGAAGGGAGGGGGGGTCCCTGTTCAAACATCAATCATAATGTAGGGGAAATGGATGTAATGTCGGCCTAAATGCCCCTAATTTGGGCCCATACATAAATTCACCTTTAAACTCATTTGCGTTCACTTGAGCATTTTTTTGAAAATTCATTCCAGTGGGGCAAAAGTTCGCAGTCGGAACCAGTTTACTTAATCAACAAATTAAGAAAAAAACCACAAATTTTCAAATAGTGACTGATTAAAATAAAAACTGACTTTAGTACCTTTAGGAGACTACCAGCCCTGCATTTTTTCGTATCACTTCAAGTTGTGCCCTTTCAAATGCCGGCTTGAAAATATGTGTGCATTTGTCACATGCTGAGTAATTAATATGTGAAAAGGGCAAATTTTCCTAACACAACCTAACTTCTGAGTAGCAAAAGTTTATGATAAATTATATCTGTCAAGTTAGCCAAGTGTCATGGCAACACAATCCGTAATCAAACTTATTAGTAATAGGTCTTTTAGGGGGTAGCAATTATCTCGCGAAATAACTTGTGTTCCAAGAGATACAAATTTTTCCACTACTCCAACAGCTCCAACTGAGCTTACACGTCTATTATCTTACCGTGACGCTAATACACGCAGTCCTCTTGCCTGCAGATTACCATTCAAAGCCTGGCTGCAACAATACTCTACAACTCTACCCAACCGACTTTCCACGCTGAAAGGGGTTCCCTGAGGTTGTGGTATCGAATTGATTTCCCCCTTCCGAGGCATGCAACCGCTGACACACATTTACACGCACATACACACCGTCACATAGTTGAATCTTCCGTAAAGGACACTTTCGTACTGGTACACAAAGTATATCCACGGGAATACGTATTAATCATCCGCGTCCATTCCCCCCACCCACCCTATTTATGATGACAGAGAAGCGTACGGAGGACTTTTATCGCTTAGTCGCACATCAGCACAGTATCAAACAAGGCGACGCCGACGGCCAGCGGCAGCGAAACATCAAACAATGACCGACTTTTAACCTGAATATGATTAGGATCTTAATTAGTAACCACAACAGTGGTGACGGCAGCGTCGGTGGAGAAGCCACGTGACGCAAACCGTCAACGATGATGATGATGATGATGATGGTTTTTTGGTCGCTTGTATCGGGCCCGGGAATCGCACCTCGGATAATACAGTAGTAGTTAGGTACGGCAGGATATCTCTTTTCCAGGGAAACCCCATCCTTGGAAAATCCGGATGGTAAACACTAGATAAAGGCGTTTCGAGGAAGCTGATTCTGCTAAACGGCTGCCTTTCCGGGAAACGGTGAATTAATTTATGATCAATCTAGTATTTCGTGTGATGACAAGTGAAACCATGCGTCTCCATTGCTCTGTGAGAAACGATGAAAATACATACACAACTTACCACCCTCTTATCCTTGCCCACTTCATCCGATTTCGCAGGTTTGGCTAGATGGGCTACGGAGAATCACTCACAACGGCAAAGCAAACAATGTTTGTCCTATGACTGCCCTCAAAAAGCAGTAAGTTCTTCAGTCTGTCGACTGTCCATAACTGTGTTAAGAGTTCCACCTTGGTTATGGTCATTGATTATTTTTGTTTTCCGGATTTCGAACTCATCATGTATTAATTTTGATTTTATTCATCGCGTACTAACGTACTTCGCTGCATGCATGCATGTTGCCGATTAATTATGTATGTCATATAATTTGCATGAAAGCGCAAAGTTCCAATTTCCTCAATCAGTTAGAACGAAAATGTGTCAAATGCATGAATTTTGCAACCTTCGTCAATAGATCCTGATATATGATAATCGATTAACAATTTCATGATTTTCTATTTTCCGGGCATATTACACTATCTTAATGTTATAGAACGCATTTTTAAGATATATTTTACACTCTATTCTGGACAAACCGTCTTTTTTATTTTATTGTTATCAATTTTAGGTTATTTTATTTTTTAACTTACTTTGCCCTTTTCAATCAGATTTTAAATGTGCTTTTACCAATAACCTATTAAATATGCAATAAAAGCAAGAACAAAATTGATTAGGGTAAGTGTGTTAGTCCTCTAATTGGCCCTATCTTAAATTTTCAATGATTAATTCTTTACAAAATGTATTTCGATGCAATGTTAGAGTATAGATTTAGTTACGCAATTTTTTTTAAGCCCCAGGGCCAAAAACTGGAACACTAGTTCCAAGACTGGCACACTTATGCTATTGATCATACTCGCAATCGTGTGGTACTATAAGGGCAATGGCCCATCCATTAAAATCTCTTATTCCATTCAAAGTGTTTTTTTGTAACTTCATACGTGAAGTTTGCGATTTTCAGAGTTGGTTGGAAATGCTATCGAACCTGAAGAGGATAGGTTGATAGTTCCGCTAGAGTACGGCAGTATGAAAATGGAATAGAAGTTGAAGATGAGCAAAGGGCCATTAATGCGACAGTACTCGCACACTCTTTTACCTAACTCATACATTAATGAATATGGAGACTTGAAGTATTTCTTCAAATCTACAGGCAAAATAGTTCGCGTTTGACTTGCTAATATCTATATAAAGCTGGAATTAGGGCGTAACAGCCTTTGTCTGCGGCTGTGGAATAGCTCAAACGACGTTTCATCACTACCTTAAGCCCCACGTTGACGAAAGTATTTCCAGTCGATGCTGTGTTATAATGTCTGTTAGATGTCATTTTAGATAGCATTTCCAACCAACTCTGAAAGTCTCCTATTCGTTATTTTTTCTAGAACGATGTATCATCTGAACAAATCAAATGCTAATGGAAAATTGATCAAAAATGCTCTATTTTGGAATTCCGTCAAGGGCCCATTATTAGGAACATCTAGGTCAACATTAAAGACATCAACCCTATACCACATTATAAAGACAATTCTTGACAAAAATTGCAAAAAGTTCAAAGAACATTGGTCGATGCTGTTCGAGTCACCACGGTAATGTTAGAACATTTTCGGATAATTACGCCATTTTCCTCAAAATATATGAGCATGAACATTGTAATCCATTCTATGTGTGTAAAATCCAGTGAATCCTTAGTTTTGAGGCCAATAACGGCGCCGTTCACGTTATATCGAATTGTTATTTCGACACCCGTTGTTTTAGAGACCGAGTATAAGGACGTTTTTCTTTGTGGGAGGGGTGAATTAGGTCTAGATTCACATTGGAAAGTGATGCGGTCTTTTAAAGCCTGGTAAGCATATGACGCGACCCTATCAACTCAGTATTGTAAAAGAACTTGGGTTATAACCCACGATCTTGTGCTCAGTAAGCAAAACCGGTCGCTCTAAAGCCACCGTGCCCCTCACAACAAGCTACGACTGTCGATCGTTCATTATCGGTTACAAGCTATTAAAGTAGCTATTAAAATTAAATGACATCCCCGAAAGCAGTTAACAATGTCTTCCGAACCGGATCAAGCGTACGTCACTTTTGTATAAACATATGTATTACTTTTCCGGATCGTTCCACCGTGTTTCTACAATAGAGGCCTGGGATAGATCAATTCTGTAATGTAACGAGGCTCCCCAGACAACCAGAATGCATGTATATTCAAAGTTGTTTTCGTGATATACAAACATATATACAAACAAACAATTCGTATAGAATGCAAAGAAATGGCTTATACGTACAAAAGTGGAGGCCATATACGTGCATATTTTAATTTAATTTTAAACGAGTTGATTTTTTTTTTTTTTTTATTATAGTCATATTAACACTCTTGGGTTATTCGTGACTTGTCCGGAGGTGAGATTTGAACTCGTGACTTTGGCGTGAGAGGTATGGATGTTAACCACTACGCCGGGGTCGCCCCCACGAGTTGATTTAACAACATCTACTATTTAATCTGTAATAACAAATTCATTTTGAAAAGTCTTACGATGTAATCCGATTTAATTTGTGATACAGTACGACGGAAAAATGAATCATCGCATATAAGTCGGAAACTTGCATTCTATACGATTTAACTTAAACATAATGCCAGGTATGCCATTCTAGTATGCGATTTTGACTTAAACTGTAGCAATTTACGATACTGTCTGTACATTGTTATACGACTTCTGGTTGTCTGGGTTGCCACCATGCTCCTTACACTACCACAATCTACGATCGATTTTACAAAATGCTATTCAAATGAAGTGAAGTTAACGGATAACAATGTTTTTAAAACTGGATGACGCATACACCCTTTCCGAAATTCCAAACTCAACATTCTAATTGCAACAACCGACCCACACACGATGCGCAAAAATCGCATTGACGCATTAAAACACTATCGATCAGATACAAAAAATCCCTGAATCTGTGAAATTAGTTTGCCTACCCGCATAAATGCGAACCATTGCATGACTTTACCAAAAATGGTTAAACATTGTTTATAATCCCTGTTAAACTTTAACTGAAATGGTTATGGAACTTTACATGAACCTTATGAATTATGGTTTTTTGGAAGTGAAACTTACAAAGAACCATTATCATTCCGAATTCTTGTTTTCACGATACATTTTTGCGAAAAGAATTATATTGGAACCATTTTGTTTATGATTTGAGAACTTTAATGGTAATGGTTATGGTAGTCGGTAAGGTTCATCGATTAACTTTATGTGGAATATATCGCGAATTGGTTGCCTGTAAATTACTGATTACCAATATTCCACGTAAAGTTAACCAATAATACAAAACCATTAATGGACCTTACTGACTACAATAACCATTACCATTAAAGTTCTCAAACCATAAGTAAAAAGGTTCTAATATAGTCCTCTCTCCGAAAATGTATGGATAAAACAACTTTTTTGAATGGTAATGGTTCTTAATAACCCATTATTTGTAAAATCCATTCATTCATACTTACTTACTTACTTACTTACTTACTTACTTACTTACTTACTTACTTACTTACTTACTTACTTACTTACTTACTTACTTACTTACTTACTTACTTACTTACTTACTTACTTACTTACTTACTTACTTACTTACTTACTTACTTACTTACTTACTTACTTACTTACTTACTTACTTACTTACTTACTTACTTACTTACTTACTTACTTACTTACTTACTTACTTACTTACTTACTTACTTACTTACTTACTTACTTACTTACTTACTTACTTACTTACTTACTTACTTACTTACTTACTTACTTACTTACTTACTTACTTACTTACTTACTTACTTACTTACTTACTTACTTACTTACTTACTTACTTACTTACTTACTTACTTACTTACTTACTTACTTACTTACTTACTTACTTACTTACTTACTTACTTACTTACTTACTTACTTACTTACTTACTTACTTACTTACTTACTTACTTACTTACTTACTTACTTACTTACTTACTTACTTACTTACTTACTTACTTACTTACTTACTTACTTA